TAAACGTTTTCATGTGAAAGGCGACGTGAAGCTTGAACTTCCTGCGAGGAACACGTTACAGACGTGCCCGTTTCACGCTTTCCCTTCTGTCAGCATGCTCAAGGTGCTCCGGGCTGTTTGTCTGTTATGTATCGATGTCGCCGAGGAACAGAAGTGAGGCGGGGACGCCGTGTTTCACGGGCGGTGTTTCACGGGCGGGGCTGCTGTCGCCTAAAACCTGGTGTGACCAAAATCTACAGACTTGATGATTTATTCAGTATGACCCAAAATGAGCAGAGGTCAGAGGTCATTGGTTCCTCAGACTTCTGTAGGACTGGAAGTATTTGTCGCCCTCTGGTGGCGTTCAGGTAGAATGCAGGTGTTTCCTGGCTGACCCTGCAGCTGCGTCCATGTTTCCCCGCCTGTGTTTAGTTTAACTTTGTGCGACAGTTTCCTGTCCTTCGTGCAAACTCGACATGTAAACATTAATACATTTGATTTAAAACGTTCAAAAATCATTGTGACTCTTTGATTTCAGCCTTTTGTTCTCTGTGATGCGGCTCAGAGTCACAGCAGTCGTGCGCTGGCGTTGTTGAAGAACATGTTTCAGTCTGAGGGGGAAACGAAGCTCAGCCCGACGCGTCTGATCCGGCGTGATACGGGCACGTGTTCGGCCTGAGCGCAGCGGGCACGTCGAGATCATGAACGCTTTGATCATGGCGCTGATCCGGCTGCAGCTCGGCCGATGAGCGGGACGATGATGAAGAGGCGTCTGTGTGAACACTGACTCTGGACGAGGGCTAAACCCGACCGAGCGAGGACTCCTCCCCCCTCCCTCCCGTGTTTCAGTTCCTCAGTTTGTGCATCCTGGACTTCGCCGCTCTTTAATTCTTCTTTTCTTTACGCGCCCGTCAGCACAAGTCCGAGGTCTGGATCAGAACCGAGGTCGATCATAAACGAGCGGTGGAAGGTTTCAGTCGTGGAATCGAGTTTCCTGAACTTCGGACTAAACAGCCGCTGAACACCGGTTTGCTCAGTTCGACCACTGACGAGGTTTTTATGGCTTATTATTATTTTCCTGTGTGGCTCGTTAGAGGACACGCCCCACTGTGACGCTCAGTACGGAGGCGTGGCCTGAACTCCCCCTGAGACGTTTGAAACGTGGATGCTTCAGGTTTGTGGACTTTGTGACCCTGTTACTAAAAAACCAAAACTGTAAAATGTTTGAGATGAACTGTTTGGAAGCTGGAATAAACAAAAATGTCGGCCTTTACGCTGAAACATTGACGCGTCTGTTTGTCGTCAGTCTGTGCTCCGTTTAGCGTCAGCATCACGTCTCAGTGCTCGCTGAAAATCAGCTGATTGATTTATTTGTACAGTAAACTCAGCTGATGTAACAGCTGCAGGTTCTCCGGCTACGTTAACCCTGACCGACACGCGAGCAGGAACGAGTAGGGACAGGTACCGGTGTCCGGTGCCATGATGGCACCGGTGCTGACATAAACGGTAGTAACCAGACCGAAAAGCAGCGCACATTTCGGTGCTTTATTTTCCTGAGCTGTGATACACTTCTATTCAATCATTTTACATTTCTGAGGATAGTAGGCGGGGCCAGGTACGTACGAGCTACAGATTAAAAACGCCCAAGACGAAGCGGTCAAAGTCTGGCTGTACTTCACAGCAAAATATGCAAACTCAGCAGCAACAAGTGCTTTAAGCTGATACTGTGATACTGT